AAAGAATATCAATGGATATAATTTCATCTTTTAATTTATTTATTCGATTGCTTTCGTATTGAAAAAGAATGAAAATGAAAAATGGCAGCTCTTATTATTCAATCGTTTTCTAATTTATGAAAGAATACAAAATAAATGATGAAGGGAGTGCTAAAAAAAAAATGAAATACTAGTTTTTTGTTTATATTGAATATTGCTGAGATTATATTAGATTTTTAAGTATCATTTTTTTATTTCTTCTAAATTCAGTACCTGAATTCTAGCTCGTTTTTCGTCATTCATTTCGGTTCGAGGTGATATACGGCTTAATAGAATTGGTGCTTTTGTTATAGGCTTTATTGTTACTGTTGTTGATCTAATGATTATTGTCATTGCTGGTGTTGTTGTTGTTCGTAATTTTGGCTTTACACTTATTGGTTTCTCCTCCTTTTCATCATTATTGAAATTTTGGAGAAATGGTGAAATTGCATTCGATAATGCATCATTCACTTCCTAAAAAATGAAAAATGATCAGAAATTGCTACGTTGATAGATAATATGATTAATGCATTTTTCTAGATTTAATAAACAAAAAGACAAAAATTCTACTTTTTCAGATAGGAAAAAAATTTCAGATTTATAGTATTTATATGGTGGTAGTGTATTCCACAGTATCGTAGCATCATCCTTGAAAACATTTGCAAAGACTTTTTTTTGTTTTTTTAACAGAGCATATTTTTTTGCTGCTAAAATTACACATCACTAAATTTAATAATACACAGAGTTAATAATACTCAATAATTAATAATCAGAGGTACGGGATAATAACGGGATGTAAGTAAAGAATAATATTGATGTATGAAAATAGAATAGGAGCAGAATACAAGGAAAAGAATAACTATGGAATAGAGCAACTGAACAGTGATGGTTATAAGAATAGAACAGTAGCGACATGCAGGAGAATGACAATGGAATAAGGAAGTACAGGAATGGAATAATAACAGAATATAACGGGAAAACTATAAAAATTATAGTAAAAATTGGTAAAAATTATGTTTCCATTTTCCCATTGTTAATAATTTTATTTTCTACTTTTTTTTTTTAAATTAAATAACGCTAACATTTCTAATAGAAGGAGAAAATAATTTTGATCGAGCATAGGTTTGTCCCATGGCATTCTGTAAGTGATCCCGTGAACGTCCTAATCTTGAATTGTTCATCATTCGTGATGGTTGTTTTCTAGTGATAAAAGCTAATTAAATTTCATATCATTGAACACTGTATATTACTATTTGAATAATTATTAGAAATTTGATAGCAAAAAAAAAATTAAAAATTATTGAAGAATTTATCAAAAATTCATTAGCACTTTTATTGATGAAAAAAATTAGGTATTAATATCAATTACTTACAGTTGCCGATCAAATGCTTCCGCTACAATACGAGCAGATTTAAATGGTCGTAACCTTTTAATACTATTAATA